CGGCAGCAGGTGCTCTGCAAAGCTGAACCCACCACAGCCATGAACATGCCCCATCTTAGACAGGCTCTTCCAGCAGGTGTTATTTGAATCCCGGGCATCTCTCTAGCAAAGCGCAATGATATTTAACTTCCTTGTGGGCTCAGGAGGCTGCCAAACATCTGTTGGGATTAGTTGGTTCATGTTTGTAAAGTGTATACAAATGCTATCGTAAGGAAGCGGCTGACCTATTTATAGATGTGAATGCTGGACCGAGACCCAAACCCACATACTGTATTTGCACATATGGCTGTATCTCCCCTGCCAGATTTTACTGTGTGAAGCTAAGATGGAGGCACAAGGTGTCACCTATAGCTTACAGCCCACTTTTGGTCACTGCTAATTTGAGTCATACTGCTCCCCTCCTCCACTTTACCCCATCCAATTGCACAACTGAATTTTGTTAACAAGCTGGGCTAGTGTGGCTCTACCAGAAGCCCCCAAATGCCAGGTTGGTTGCCCTTTGCAAGAGAAACCCACCTTCCCTCAAGCCTCCATCCCACTCCCTGGAGTCCCACCAGGGCTGCAGGTCACAGACTCTCAGCCCACAGATCTCCGCCAGGCTCCCAGAGGCCAAGCTGCAGCAGATCAGCCACCCAAATTCCTCATGGCAAGGGACTTTGCATCAAGTTTCACATTTCTCTTGGGTGTCCCTCCCTCCCACACAGGCCTCCTGTGAGTAAGGGCTGAGGAATGAGACAGCGAGCCTGCACAGCTCAGAAGCCACAGTGATAAACAACCGTGAGGGAGATAAACTCTCCAGGAAGGACGGGGAAGAGCCCAAGTAGGTTTCAGATGGAACCAAGCACGTTTGTTAGAGGGATTATAGGTGGCAATGTCTTGTGATGGCAGGGCCACAGGAGCCGTACGTTCCCACGACTCAGAATTGCTTTGCACCAAGTTGCAAGTCCTAGACATACAGCTTTGCTCTGCCAGAAGCTACTGCTCCCCTTTCCTCCGCAGACACATTTCAATACTTATCAGGTCTCCATCTTAGTCACATTCTGCTAACACACACTTTTTACATCCTTTTCATCTTCCCTCATAATCAGTCTCTATGTCTGTCCCCAGGTCAATCACTCTGCTCTTCTCTCACCATTCTCCACTTTATCTTCATCTCCCAGGGCAAGACCTCCTCAGACCCAGACGCTGCTCCACGGGTGCAGCCTGTGCTCTCTGCTTGGGTTCACAGGACTTCAACACACACCGTTTGGCAGACTCACTACTCTCCTTTGGGTAGCGTAACAAGTGGCAGGCCCAGCCCAAGATGCTACAGGTCAAATTCAGAGATATGGACAACACAAGAAAATTTTGGTTTTGCTTTCATATCCCATGGACAACGAGAAGGACGAACAGGAGCCCAGGAGCATACCAATACCATACCCAGAATTACTCATGTCTTTCATGAGATGGATAGGCCTTGTCTTGTTCTGGAGATCAAGAGCATCTGGAATCACTTCCATTACATGTCAGGTAGAACGTGCACAACTAAAACATGCAGAAAATATTCCCATCCTAGCAGGTGCATCTACCAAGACAGCTGGAACTAAAGCCGATGATCCAATGTGAGACTTTCTGATAATACACAGCTACCTTTGTACTTCCAGTTCCACCCATGAAATCGGGCACACCCTTAATGAGGTATGAATCAAATCATCTGAGACATGAGAAATTTATCAAGAGCTGTTGCAAAAACCCATAAGGTTGCTTGTGCCTCACTGCACTTCACCTTCAAGGGATGGGGAGCAGCCGGCGCAGGCAGACAGCTGCCTTGAACACAACAAAGCTGGAGCAGATCACTTTCGCTAGGACTTCTTGCATGTGACTGCATGACCCAAGACCTAAAACACCACCTCAGGTGTGCAAATGCATACAGACCTGAGGCTTGGGCTACAGCATCCAGGGAACTCCAGCAGGCAGGGAACCAGAGTGGTATGGGTATGACACCCCGGTGCGTGGCCTTACCCCAGTCAAGGTGGGGCACTACCAGCACAGATGATCATTGTAACACACTGGAGCATGAGTCCTCTCTTTTTCACCCCAGGGTACATCACAGCAAGGCAATACATCAGGCGGTGCAAAGGTGAGGTGATGCCAACCCATCTCCTCTGCATCCTCAGAGAGATCTGATACCCACCTGTAAAAAGTGACCACAAAACACTGCCCATAGGTCACGTATGCAACGAGGGGATGGGAGCTAACTTCACGCAGAATAACTTACAAATAAACCCACCCTATAGGGATCCTTGTGTGTAGTAAGGCAAAAAGCCCTGCTCTCATAGCTCCTTCTCCTCCCGCTCTATGATGTGGTCCTTAAATTTCACCGACTTCCCCAGTCTCCGCACGCCCCGAGTCCACAGCTCACCCACGCAGCAGAGCAAAACACGCCGTGCCAAGCCACGGAAGGAGGTGCACAGGCACTCCGTAAGCTGCCATCCTTTCAACCAGACACTTTGAGTACCTGGGCGGGCGGAGCACCTCAGAAAGACACACTCACATTGTTTCAAGTTCACCTGCTGCTCTGGCCTCATTCCCAAATCTCGTATACCAAGGGAGACACTCAAGGAGGCATTAGGTGCCAAGAACACCACACTCAGCCCTGCAACAACACGGAGGTCCAAGGCGTTATTCCTAACTTCCAAAATATGCTTCTGCCCCAAAATTTGTCACTTAATGCCACTGTTAGAGGCTTGCAACTTGTCTGCCTCATTCACAATGTGACCTCCTGTACTGTATGAGGCTGACTCTTCATTGCAGCGAGGCTATGGCTGTTCTGCATGCTACAGCACCATTTCAGAAGAAAAGAAGCCGGACATCTCCCCAGATAACTTTAACCCTTTTGCCCATCGTTTCTCCCCCATCTGTCTGCCTTGGGAGCAAATTAGAATTCAGATATAGGACAGTGCTTAAACACTTGCTTATCTTTAGGCACACTAGTAGCTGCAGAGAGTTCAGCTGGATTACTCATACACTTGAATTTCAGACTTACTATGCAGAAGGTTCGCTGAGCCCTCCTTAAATGGCAAAGATGCAATGCTGTGTTTTCAAAACTCAACTCTGTGCATCCCAAGGAACCCAAGAAAGAAATGGGTTCTCTAAAAAAAACACTGAAGTGGAACTGTGCTAGGGAAGGCATAATTTTCATTGTCCCAAAAAAAAGCCTGTGGGATCAGAAGTGATGGAGAACCACCACAGCTCTAAAGTTTAAACTACCCTAAAAAATGGCCGTCTTACTGTACACAGAAAAACAAGCCACTGAGGAAGTGTCCAGCTGATGATGTGAAGTCCCCCATTACCCATATTCTACTCCTTGAAATATGTTTTTATACATAAATACCACCTGGACCTTAGCCATTTTTGTGGTTCATTTCTGGACCTTCCCACCATCATGCTTCAGATTCAACAGCATTAAACTGCCCTGGTTTCAAAATGCCAGAGAGAAAGACCAGCTTCCATGCTAAGCTAGGCATTTCAATACCCACACAAGATAAGTACAGGCCTTGCCCCCCAGTTAAGGATAATGATGATAACGCATAAGAGGCAGGTAAAAGCAGAAAAGATGGGGGAGATGGACGGTAAAGATAGGCATAACTGCAATAAACAGTTCAGAGTAATCTCCAGAGTTCAGTGGAAAGGATGCTAACTTCAGTCTGTAATTACAAACAATTCTTTTCAACCATTTCTCTGTTTGATTATCAGTTATGACTGCAAACTAAAGAGAACAGCCCTGGTCTAACTGGCTTTTTTTCTCCTGGATTTCAGTGTCAGGGATGACGCTACACTCCCAACCTCACTACTCTACAAGCCTCAGTATCCCATCAGTAAAATGGCAAGAATAATTTTCCTTCACCTCAGGAAAGCACTGCAAAAATAATCCCCCCTAACTTGCAAAGCGCTCCAATGAAAGACCAAAGAGCACTCCAGAACAGCACAACAGGAAATTAATAATTCTGCATCCAGTCCCAAGTTTGAATAGTATGTAGTAAATAAGGCCTGGGGCCACACACTGCACAAAAAGAAAAGAAATTGAATAGCTGCTCATTAAGTATCACCTTCCACTCTGGGCACAAAGCATAGGTGCTCTGGCAATTAAGTGGCTATATCATAATACCCACTTGCAGGGGAGGCCAAATTAAGGTTTCATCAACAACCTTCATTCTGGCATTTCGTAGCTTTGGAGCACTTGGACTTTGCAACTTTAACACCATTCTTTTAACTAAGTTCACTGCTTGTAATTAACTACAGGACTGCCACGTGGCTGCCGCAATCGCTGTTTCTCTTGGGAAATCCGGATTAAAGGTTTGCCTTGGCCAAAGTAATAGCTTCAGGTATCTCTCAAGATTTGCCCAAACCCATGAAAAGCAAATCAAGTCTCTACCTCAAGTGATGAGGTGTGTTAAATTCAAGCCAGCTGATCTCCTTCAGGGCTGAGCTGAAGCAGGAACGCCACTGACACCCAGATGAGTGAGGCAGGGGAGATGCAACAGCTGGAGTTACAACCACTTATCAGCTGCTAATCCAATCACTCTCCCAACCCAAGTCCCTTCCTGCCATGCACTGTCTGAGAGATTCCTCGCTTTCATTCAAGCTTGCCTCATTAAGTGGAGTAATTCAAGTCTGTTAAGGTGAGGTAATAAACTGCTGAAACAGAGAGAGAGCTCCTTAGAGTACATGCACACAGCACATCGAAGATGCACATGCACGTTACTGAGATATAAACCACTGCAGTTGGGGTACAACGAACACAGCAACTGCAGCAAGACCGCCTGCAAGTCACCTGTGAAGCACCCCAAGTTTCTCTTTCAAAAAAAGAAAAAAACAAACCTCACCAACCTGAGTTTCATGCAGCCAGCCATGTTGCTGAAAAAGCCCTAGAGGGGATATTTTAAATTTGCTCTGGTACGCTTAACTAAGGCTTGGAGCTGGAACGCTTTTACCCCATTGTGCAGTGCATCCCTACCCACCCCACTGGGCTCCACAGCCCCTTCTTCAAGGTCTGTGGCACGATCTGTCAGCCTCCTCCATCCTGCCTGCCTTCGCCCAGCTGGCCAGGCTGGTCCCACAACAAAGCAGCGGGGTCCTGGTTCCTCAGCAGCGTTACGGCCCCCAGCTGTGCAGCCCTGGCAGAGGCTCTCCAGCTGGAGAGGAGATCAGGAGCACAAGCAGAGGGAGAAGAGGAGATGACTGCAGCTCCCCACAATGAGATCCACTGGCCTAAAAGAAAAAAGGGGGGGGGAGTTACAAATAGATGCATAAACAAGACCTGACTGCATAATTCGGAGCTAACAGGGTAGTTTACTGAATGTTAATTAAATCCTCAGTGCCTGTTACCAACTGTGGAGATCAACTTATTTTTAAATTAAATAAGCAATAAATGCTTAGATGAACTTCTATTAAATTTCACCCAGTGAATGAAGTATGTGGGGCTTTTAATAGACATTAAACAAGATAGTTATGGCAAGTTAGTTGATATTTTATTACCTAAAGATAATGGCCATATTAAATCTCAACTAACTATTCCACTGGCGGCACAATCATCCAAGACTTGGCGGAAGCTCGCCTGCCTTGAAGCATCACTGGGCAGCAGTAGCAGGGGGAGGAAGGCAGCCAAGTGCTGAATGGCACCTACTTAGAGGATGCTCAAGCACATAAGCCCACTTAGGCACAAAATGGGATCCCTCCCAGACAGACCTGGAAACCCCAAAGAGGGCTGACAGGGGCTCTCACACAGAAACAGAGCTGGCATAAATCAGAGACCCTCAAGCATCCCAACCCCCCAAAACCAAACGAAGCAGTTTATGGGGTTACTGAGGAATCACTGTTAACGAGGTTCCCTTACGGCATCAAGGGCAACGGAAGACATCCTCACTAACAGCCTGCAACACTCAAAAGCTTGTATCTTTTTCTAAGAAAAGGTTATCAGCAGCCCACCACTCCACCGATGTTTGTTTTCCTTTCCTGAGCATATTGCAATAGTTTGGGAGTGCTTCTGAGTGACTCACATGTGTCACTGTCACCCACAGATCCCAACAACAGATACTGACAGTCTAAAATGACAGAGACTTGCTGACAGTGACTTTAAAATGATCACTTACATGCCAGCTCTTGCGCTTGCTCAGAACGTGATCGAAACCAGCTCTTTGAGATGAAAGCAGAATCTCCACCGAGGTGTCTCTACCGGTAACCTGAATCACAACGATTAAGTGTGGGTAGCGGGTTGTTTTGGTTTTTTTTCACATCTGGATTGGAAACATCACGAGCCTTACTTGCCCTATCGTGCCCAGAAGCAGGAGGAACGGAAAGAGCCAAGCCCTGCACCCCGCTAACTCCCGCTTCTTGGGCAGGCACAAGCTCTCAAAAAGCTTTTAAACTTTGTGGGGTTTTTCTGGTCTGTGGTTTTCGGTTTGATTTGTTGTTTTCTTTTCTCTGGTTGTTTGTATTTTACAAAACAAAACGCTCCCTAAATTAAAAAGAGGAAAACACAGAGCTCTTCAGACTTCACCAATGCTCTCCTCCAGCATCCCTATACACACGTGAAAGCCAATCACAACACTTTCCCTCCAATCCCTCCTCTGGAACCATTGTTCATAAAGCTATTTCAAGTCCTGTATTTTCCTACATATAACCCACACTCTTTAAAGGTATTGTTCCTTGCGAATCTGTCCCTCAGATAACCCACATCCTTAGATAAGCTATGGTTTCCGTCTCCTCCGCTCCAGCCTGCTTTTGAAGCGTGGCTGCAGTTCCAGTAAGCTCTCTAGCTTTTAGCAGAACTACCCTGCTACGAGAGCGAGAGCAAAGGGAGATGATGAAACTACCGGGGTAAGAAAGCAGGCTGCAGAGGATCTGAAAGCAGGCAAGAGCACCACTGTCTTGCTCGCGCGTGCACATAGCAAACACAGATGCCGAATCCCAGACTTCTGGCAGGTCACAGACTTGGTATTCACCTTGCTTCCCTGAAGGCTTCTCTCCATCAAAAAAATAATGCACCTAAAAAGCACAGAGGTACCTAAAGGAAATGCATATTTCTTCGTCATCCCAATGCCATCTTTAAAACCTTTCCATGCATCCATAGGGACTTCCCTCCACCTGAAGGTATTACCAGGGCTGCCAAAGACTGCACAGGGAAGTGTGCGGACGACCAGGCAGAGGTGAAACCCAGCGTGGTCCGGGGCCGGATGGAGCGGAGGGTGTGGGTGCTGCCCAGAGCTACGTCAGGGCCAGAAGAGTTTATTAGGAGAAAGGCAGAGCTGTGTGGGTCAGGCTTTCAGACGCTTGACGAGGAATGAAATGTCACCGAGGATGCATTGTTCACACAACCATGATGGGCAAAGGAACAGAGAAACCACTGCGGGCACCCTGAGGGTATATGTTTCCACAGACGCACGGAAACTGTCTTGTTGCAAACAATTTGTCATCCACCCAAGCTACTGCTTTTCTCCAGCTACGGTCAGCAAGAGATGTTTCAGAGAAACCTGCACAAAACAGTCTCTTCTTTCCAATTAGATGTTTACGGTATAAGAGCCATCACCATTAGCTGGTATAACTCTGAATGTACCTGACATTCATACAACCGTCCCATCTCCTTTCCAGACTTGGCTAAATTCTTGTCCTCAGCAACATTCTGCATGATAAATGCCACCATTTAGTTACATGGAAAAGCACTTAATTTTATTCATTTTGAATCGGTCACTTTCACCTTGGCTTACATTGGTACAACGGAACAGAGGCCCCTTTTCCACAGCATTCACTGTTTCTGTGACACCTTTCTAACACGTGTCCTTTATATAGGAGCGATCCCAAACGACTGGTCACACCCCCTCATGTTTTCCAGCTCCCCGCCATTTTTACTATCCTTCTCCAAAGCTGCACGCACCAGGCTTCACTGATCAGAAGGGAGCCACTTAAGTTTTATAGTCAGGCATCATACAGACAAATACAAGCAGCGATTTTAACAAACAAGACAACAGTCAGGCTTCAAAATTATGCGAGTGGTGTCTCCGCTCTGACCATGAACCCCCACACCGTCATTTGTACTATGAGTTATAATTAAAAATACATACTGATGATCACATTCTATATTTAAAAGCACTCCAGCTCCACTGAGACTGTAGCTGACACTATTAGGTGCCTTGCAAAACTCACTAGTCCAGCTCTGGAGCTTCACCCTTGAACATCCTAGAGAAACGAGTGCTTTGGCAAGGGATACACATCTGAATCTGCACTTTCATTATTTGAAAGCTTGAATTGCACTGCACCAGTTCCTGATTCTGGTAAGACAAAGCCTATTACCTCTCACTAACACAGGACAGCTGAAGACAGTATTCAGAGCAATGCAACTTTGAGATCCAATGTGCTCTAGCGAGTTTCCACGAGACAAGGCAGTTAAACTGCACAGGAACCTGGGATTTTCTGTACCCTAACTGTGACTGCCGGGATATGGGATCTGAAATCCACTCCCGACCCACCAGTCTAGAGGCAGGTTTTTGCCAGTTTGCCCTGATTTCACTAGAGCACATCACAGACAGTATCATTCAACACTTTTACCCCCTCAAGCTGGGTGACTGCTCTTCCAGACGGCGACTAAGAGAAGGGGACAGGACCCACAGAGCTGGAGCCTGCACCGAGACAGGCATCCTCACCAGTATCCTGCCCCAACACTCAGACTGATCTCCAAACATGCTCCAAAGGTGAAAATCTCACCTCGGGGAAACGGGAATTGGAGTTTCTCTGGCCAGATAACTTATGGGGCGGTAGCTGGTACCAACCACACCAGGCGATTGGGACTTGCACGATGGAGACAACCGTGCAATGACAAAAGCTGTAACCCTCACCGACCTGGACACCACACACCGTGGAGACTGCACAACAGTGATGCATTGCAGTATAGAAGCTTCAATGAGACAATTTTAGCTTCATTTTCCTTGATGTGTCCTCCATTTCCACCCAGGAGTTTAGTGAGGCAGCATACAAGGGCCACATATCCCTGACTGGAACTTCTGGATGGCAGGACCACTGGCAACGCCGGACATGTGCACAGCCAACATGCCCACAGCCTCCACACAACGCACACACTCTGGGGATGACTTTTGGGAAGAGGGTGTCAAAAATCACTCAAGTGCCCTCTCTGTGCACAAGGAGCGCATTTTCACAGTCCAACAGACTCACTGACCACCACCTACCCACTACCAGGCACCTCTCTCCAGCCAAGAAACCCCCAAAAAGCCTACGGTGACCTTCAGCAACCCACGTGCTCTAAACAGACCCTCCAACCACAGGGCTGGGAGAAGAGCCTACAAGGACCAAAAGACATCTGATGGCAGGAGAGCCCCCAGCACCATAACTGATGAGGACTTCGCGCTGCCACCATCCTGGACCAGGTTCCCCTAACTTGGTAGCTTTTCCCAACAACAGCCAACACAAGCTGACTCAGGTGGGGAAAAAAAAAAAAACAAACCACTGAAAAAAACAGTTAGAGGAAAACTATATATGAAACTCAACAATTAAGAGGGCAGCAGGGCTGAAGCCCCCATTAGCAGCACCCGCATCTCACTGGAGCTGCAGGCAGGATTAGACACTGAGGGTAGGAGCTCGCTGTCAGGTGGCCCTATGGCCACCACCCACACTGTCACCGCTGACAGCCCATCCTGGAGGGAAAAACCCTCCAACAAAGGCTAAACAACTGAAAAGAGGGGAATAACAGAGCTAATAAATTTAGGAGTGATAGGATGAAAGGTCATGGGCTGGGCAGGGAGAGACAGAGTAGGCCAACAGGCAGAGAGAAGTTTTCAACGGTAGATCTTTATCCTCAGAAGGAAATATTTCCCAAGGGAAATCCCATCCTTCAGAGTATTATTTAGCTTTGCCTGGGTCAGTCCTGCTGCAGCAAGGGTGGGGATAACCAGAAAGTCCCTCAGATCCCCAAACTGCGTTGCTGCACAGCAAGCTGCGCTGCGCACAGGACCAACATTTTCCAGCGTGAACATGGCTGGTAATGTACAAAAGAAATGCTGTGTCCCATTTTCTGGCTCCAAGCATCCCCCTGCCTTCCTAATATCCCATATCTGTAATTACTTGGTGAGCCAGCACCTGCTGTATCACCCAGCTCCCAGACATTCAGGGAGTCCCCGCTCTCTCTCAGATCTTGCCCCAAAAATCATTCCTGGAAGGTGTAAGCACAAACTCTACAGGTAAATGAGTCCAGGGAAGCAAAGAAATTCTCAAATCCAGAGTGTTTCCAAAAACTTAAGACTTCTATGTGAGACCTTGCATTTCACATGGGTCAAAACCACTTTCTGCACAAGGGCCAAGGTGTTGTGGATGTGTAGGAAGACACGTCAGCAAGCTTGACAGCTCCCGCAAGCTCTTTAAACTTTGTGTACCAATCGCCTACAAGAGAGAAAGATACCAAACAGGAACCCAACCCAAAAACCAAACAACTGGGCCAAAAAGCCAACTCGTATAGGCATAGAAAAAAAACAAACAAAAAAATAATCAAAACTAAGCAGGAGAATCCAACGCTCATTTGTTTCACCAACGGGGCCAAACTGCACCTCGAGGTACAGTAGCCAGAGCAATTACGGCATAAGTTTCTCCATCAACACCTCCTACTCGGGAGCACTGCCTTCTCCCCAGCACAGCCCCAGGGCGTGGAGAGTGCTCCTGAACAATGGCAGGAATAAGATTTGCGTGTTCAAAAGGGGAAGGCAAGAGAAGGGGGAGGAAAAAAAAAATTCATAAAGAAAAAGCCCAGGGTGACGTACGGGCGTGGGAAACTTTTACGTCCTTACCTGCTGGGGAAGGGTGGGCCTCCCCTGGCGTATAAAAAGCTGCAAGGGCTTTACTCAACTTGTTATTTACTACCGAGCCCCGGCCGAGGGGTCGGCCGGCGCAAGGTGCGGCGG